GGGGGTATGGAGAAGAGAAACACCATGCACATGCTAGAAGAGATACGAAAGCCATTCAATATTTGAGGGTTTTTAACGAAACCAGCCATTGCTCTACTGAAAGTGATAAATACATTACCTGGGGATCGCCTTTAGCAGCAGAATATGCATAATAGTTGGCTGCCTTTTCTACATCTCTGTGAGCTTGACACCCGAACCAATAATAGTCTCCCATCTTCACTAGAGCTGCATTATTATTATTTCATAATTACTATTTCATCTACATAATTACGCCATGAGATGATTTTTTTGAAAGAGAGCAAGATCCGTTACTGCTAGTCTAGGTGTTAAATAGGCGATGAGTTTTATGCTGTAATTATCTATTTTATTGATATATTCATTCATTTATTTATTCATTCATTCATTCATTAATCTCCAAGAATAGTTACTGCATATTAAGACGCAAGTTAGATCATTCATTCATTCATTGTTCATTCATTCATTCATTCATTCATTCATTCATTCATTCATTCATTCATTCATTCATCTTACCATAAGAATTGATAATGTGTAATTCTCTCTGTATACTGATGTTATAATGTCGCCACTGGCATTCTTTCTCTATATAGTGAGTGATTCCTTCCTACAACAGAGACCAGATCCGATCAGTTATCTATGAACTCGCAACCCCAAGGTTGTAACCAGATCCGTTTCGGATCGGAACGTAGGTTAGGGTCAGATGACGAACTGGTGCAAATGAGATGGTTCTACTAAATAGCCATTTACACTCAAATCAATTCAAAGGTATGGTGTCACATATTTGGCATATCCACCTCCAGTAGGGTAAGCACATACAGACTATCATACCGACTTTCAGCTTATTCAATCAACTGTGGATGACGTGGATTGTTACTATATATTTATCTTAGATTTCTAGGAAATATGATACCATGTCCTCACCTTATTTTCTTCGCACAGATAAGCAGTGTTAAAAGCACCAATTTCAGATCCGGTTTCCGCTGTCATCAAGTAATAAAACAATGCTTGTGGTCTGAAAATGGTTAGGCGATACATATTATAAGATCCTGATTCTAAACAGACAACGTCTCTTATACCAGCAACTATTTGCTAGCTATCCACCCACAAGACAACTACTGTACTAATCGTGTTACTAGCTTGTTGGACTCGACAATTTGGTATGCTCTACAATTCTGTTTCCTCGGAAAAACGTTCTGCTAACTAGTTTGACTCTTTCACAATTTGCTTACATGTAGGACACCACTCTCTTCTGTGACTAAAATTTAGGAACCAAACTTCATATCCGTTATGCATGAAATGAAACGGAGTTTATCGTCTAAGAATTCATTGCCAAGTTGCCTGTGATCATTAAGGATAATGTGATACTTACATATCTAGTCGTCTCCAGGCATGCAGAGCTTTATGAAGGATATTTCCCAGAGCTGGATTTTGTTCCGAGAGATGCCTCGCCCATCTACAAAATTGATGCAAATGACAGTACTGTAAATTAAACCAAGCTCGTCTTCACAGAATTCTGACCTTGGTCAATGACACTTGCAGTCACTACAGACCTTCCACACAGTGCTCCTTGATCCCAATAGTTGTGAGAGTTATAACTGATCTTAAAGTTTCCGGATAAGGTTAAAACTAAATGAATTTCATGTAAGGTCCTCTCGCTATTTGCATACAAAAACAATATTTACTTCAAAGTTTAATAAGAATTGAGATTGTATTGGCCATTTTGGGGCATGGTTTCACAGTATGATGCTAGCACACACTACCGTTTTAACCATCCTAAACACGATCATGAGACACAAGTTTTATCAATTTGATGGGGGTAAAACTTACTCAGAGGCACCGGTGACATCTCTGCTCAAGACTTTTGATCCTTTCATACACATATAGGCGAACCATACACCAGCATCCACATGACCCTTGGAGGCAGCGAATGACATATACTGCTTAGCTTTTAACTGAAAAAATTGAAAACATCAAGAACAATGTAAGGTCCAAAGTATTGCTTTATCGTCTCTGAGAGCCACCTGAGAGCAAAACTTTCGTTGATTCGTTAATTAGAACAATTAGAAAATAATCCAAAAGCTTTAGTAGGAGTTGAGTTTTGACTCAGAACGACTCTTACGCGTGGCGGATCTACACTTACCAAATCAGCGGGTTCATTCGGTATCTTTCCATTCATTGCCATATATCCCAGATAATACCCAGCATCCGGTATTCGTTTCTGATAGGCCTGTATTAACAGATTATAAGCTTTTGTATAGTTTCTTTCTCTTTCTAAGGCAATCCACCCCAGTGCTGTTATAGCATTTGGATTCATCTGAGCTGCGGCCTTCTCCACAATTTTTTTTCCTTCTGTTTCGTTCTTCTTAGATCCAGTTCCCTGCAATATTCAATCCAATTTCAAGTCAGCGAACGGTGTGTTACTTAAATGAACCCACATCTAAAGTAATAATGTGTACCCAACACCCAAGGCAACAACACCCGAGACATTAACAGATATGTATCCAACGTCTAAAGCAATGAATATTTAACCACTATCTAAAGCAATAACAAATAAAATATGTACCGAGCAGCTCAAGCAGTAACCAAAGTGTACCCACCTTATATAGCAGGATACCATAATCATACATAGCTTCAGGATCTTGTTGTTCAGCACCAGCTTTAAAATAATTCATAGCAGCATCAATATTCCTCTTGACACCATTCTGACCCCAAAATAATGTCTTGCCGATATTCCTCTGTAATAGACGAAGTGGACATTCTTTTTATAAAACTGCTTTTGAGTACATAATATTTTTACTCCTCGAAAAGCAAGTTGCGGCTACAAAATTTCTTGAGAGCACTTGTTTGTTTTCTTTTTCAATTTGGGACCCAATGATTGAACGTTAAAGACTTGGACAAGATAGGTTTGCACCACAAAGTTCTGCACCGAAAGCATGCTGCAATCTTTCCAAAACCAATTGCAATAATCTATACTCGTGTTTGGTAACTGTTAAAGCTAGCAGAGCTTTGCCAATGTTCAAGAAGAGTGCTACAGACCTGAGCGGAGAGGACACCAGCCTGAGCTTGATGTTTCAACCATAAGAAGATGTCTCCCTCTTCGTCAGTTTGCTGCTGGAGCTTGGCTTCATCCGTTAATCTCACTGATTCAGTCAATACCTGCAATGGAAACAAAGAAAAGGCATTTTGAGATGACGTCTCATTTGTCTTGCTTTCTTTCTACTCCAAACCTTTATACTGTACAAAGTGTTGCTGAACCATTAGCTTTTATCCGATCTTCCAGTCAGAGACTCAGATAGCAGAGAATCCATCGTCCCTTATCTAGCCTAGTATAACGGTTAGAACTAACTGGCTTGACCAATTCAGTCTCGTTGACTTTGCTACCAGTCATATACTGTTGGAACATACAACGAAACAACCATGCACAGCATCAAGATGATATATAAAGTATCCTTACATTATGGTTTTTATGAGCATCTATATCTTGTCTTGTTTTATCTGCTACATAGTTATAATATACTGAAAATATAGAACACCTCTTAAATATAACACCTTTAATATTATACGTGTGCTTTAATTTGCCTAGTTCAAGTGTTGTGCCCCCAGGTGGCACCAGTGGCGCAATAAATAGCGCCACCTTTACGTATTTCGTTGTGAGACTCTGTGTGAAAATTGAACAGATAGCAATGTTTCTGTACATCTGCTAAATATGGAAAGAAGGATTCAGAGTCTTCCGCCTCCAATGGACAGCGAGGGCACAGGTTTCAGAGTTAAACACCTTGGAGTTAAACACCTTACTTTTCTGAGTCTTTTAAGGCACAAAATAATTCCAGGAATTTTATTTGTCGAAAAATACTTACAATAAGAGTGTTCTCTATCATACGGTACACCATCAATACCAATCATATGTTTATTACCCAGAGCCATTGTCGCTAATCTGTGGCCTTCCATGGACGCCATCATCAGATACGCCTGACTCTGAAAGACATGGTGGAACATAGATATAAACATAAACATAAAGTCCATGAAACTGTACATTCGAGATCTCTATTGTTTTCATTACTACTAAGACCATTCTCAGTTGGAAAACTTACTCTCAAAGAGGCATCAGGTGTTTCGGAAAGTTTGTACACTCTGTGGCTTAAAGCTTTTCAATTAAGGTTTAATATTATGTATATCTGAAAAACGAGTTGATAACGTACCTGTATTTGATCGGATTTAAAATAGATACCATTATTTAGAATAACGGCCAACATAAACATGGCGTCTGTATTGCCGAGGCAAGACGATTGTTTCAACAGAGGTACAGCTCGTGGTATTCTACTTAACTTCTCGTCCTGGAAAATAAACAGTTCAAAGATTTAAAGTTTCAAAGATTCAAAATACTGCTGATTATATCCATGCACGCACTGATTCTTACTGATTTCAAATGTTCTCTTTCTTTCTTCCGATGCTGATATTTACTATAGTGTATGTGGCGTATGTATTATAAAGATGGGTCTTGCATATTAAAGGCAAATTCTGCACCACAGCACCCCACCTCCCTTGACACCAGTATTACTTATTTTCGCAATTGCGTGATAAAGCCCTTATAATATTGACGTTGAACATAGTCCAGAGACACCCGTTCCAACCCCGCGCCGAGTCTCCTATTCTCCGGACTGGTACTTACTATGATTGCGGTAGCGTTATTATAAAGATGGGTGGCCACGTCTGGCATATTTTTGGGTGATAATGTTTGGCCGCCAAAGACAATTCTTCTAATATAACTATTGATGATTCTATAGTATCGACTACGATGATCTCTGCTAATTGGACATGTTTTGTTTTGTAAGTTCTTGGTCACTGATCTTCTGATTTCATAGAATGAACTGTAGCACACATCTAGAAACAGAAAGGGTAGCGTAGAATTTCATTAATGTTGCGTTGGTCTACATGCCAAAGGTACTGTTTGGTCAAAGAAAATCTGACGCAAAGAATATAAACTATGAGCCTCAGTAGTATTCCTTGAAAGAAGTTGTTTTAATTTTATTACCTTTTCTGACCGTGTTCTTCAATTTACTGTAATGTTTGACTCTGCTTTCAATCCAGGTGATGAAGTTAGAGCATCTTTCTTCTCGTGGTGTCAGATCGAGTTGAAACATTGGATGTTTCAGGCTTGGATACGGGATCTGGAGAATATGAACCAAATAGTCAAAAATTGTTTTGCTGAAAGTATAATCAATGAAAGAATAAAATTGCGAAGTACTAACGATCCTAAAAGTAAAAGGAAAGTTGGATAGGATGTTAATCCATTGATCTTGCTAAGTGCCAATCGACTTACTTTCTCTGGTTGAATCCATTGACCACGATAATAAACAGTTTCTCCTATATATCCTACAAACGTAGTAAACCTTTTGTTATCACCACCAAATGCTACATATCCATCTGTATCATCCATTATTACATCTTGTCCGTATCTACATTATAATAACAATTAGGAGGAGAGGGGGTTGGGGGGGGGGGGCTGTGGGTGGGGATGTAGGGGTGGAGGATGCCCTGAAAGTATTCCAAATATTTTGCGAGCTATCTGTTATCATCAACAAATACTATATATCCATCTGTATCGTCCATTATAACATCTTGTAGATATCTACATTATAATAACAAGGAACCGGAAGTAACTCCAAGGCGATGCCTGTATGTTATTTGTGTCGTGTGTCGAAACTTTGTCGTATTGAAAGTGCGATATCTTTGAGATGGGGAGAGCCTACGCCCTTGGAGTATATCTTGATTGTATCACTGGTGTATTATCTGTGATTTGTATTGACAATATGAACAACCGAAACAAATGCATTATAAAAGGGAAGTGGACTTTATACCTAAGAAAAGTGTGACAATTTCAACATTAGATGTTGTGATTACTTACGTATATTGGGTTACTGAAGTTTGATTCCAGTTTTTACCATAGTTTAATGTTATCAACCACTGAAATCAGATAACAGTGATTTCATTCTTCAAGACTTAACTAAAGTCGTATATTGTTAAGCATTTCAATAATTATAGGAACTACAGACATCTTGCAGAAATTAGAATGATGCAAGTCGAAGCCGTTAATGTGTCTGATAATCATAAGAAAAACTTCAGAAAACACTCTGAAAATCCCTTAAGGTGCCCTCAGATAATAGTGATCACCAATTGCGTATGGTTAAGAATAATGAAAGTGGCCATGAGCACCGAACGCAACTCACAACTCAGTTACATGAGAGTCACGTTCTAAACTTATGACCGATAATCTAATTCGCAACTCGTGATAGCTTTGGTGTGAGGTATCTTTAAATTAAGATGTCATATCGTCTCCATACTCACAGATCTATGTTGGAAATTAAGAGTCAATCGGAACCATTGGTGTTGTGGTAGTTTAAATGGTGGTTTCATGGCATAGTTCTTTTTGTCAGCGAGGAATACCTCCAACTGGAACGTTCCTAAAATGGGATTTATCTGAGTTTGAAAACAATCTCGAAACTTCATGGAAAACAAAAATAATTCAGAACACGTTACACCATCGCCATCAAATAATTTCAAAATTACCCCCAGGTTGAAAACCCCTACCCTAAAATCAACTTACCATCATCGAGAACAATTAAAGCTGGAGTGAGAGAAGTGTCCCAATTACCAGCTGTCATCAAAGAACAGAATTTTCTCTTTTGAGAATATTTACCATAAGGACAATACTTGTTGATATACAGCCACATCGATACTGTAAATCTACAATAGAATACGGAAATGAAAGGAATGGAGTTTTACGTCCTGTATCCGTTTGACCTTATGAGGGCAGGTAACTCCATGCAATGGGGAAAGTTTTTCCAAGACAGCGACATAAGCCTATTTGTATAGACTTTCAAAATCAAGAGGTCATGGGAGCCTCGATAAAATGTCCCATCCAAACAGCAAGACTATTTTTCATATCAGCTAAGTCACACACGCCTATCCTCACACGTGCATCAATGACAGTGGCAAGCAGATTGATCAGTCGGTAGGTATTATCTCTGTCTTACGACACAAAGAAATCAGTCAATTAATTGTAGTCTGTAATCAAAACAGAGTAGCTCCCCTTTTTCAAGTTTATTTCAACTAACTGATTGTTTGATGGCGATGAAAATCGGTTTTACTTACGTAGGTTTAGTAATAGAGTTTCGCCTCTCCGCTTCCAAGTCTGGGTTTCTGTACGGTTTGAACGATCTGTAAATACCATACCCGAGACCGTTCATAGCCGCAGGGTAGGTCACTGCTCTGATAGTCTCTATAATATAATCCAGAATTTAATTAAACTATCAGTGATTCTGAGTTCGGACCACAGAGTTCCTATAGCATAAAGTAGCCAATTCAGTAGAATTAAAATGAATTTGGAAGGTGTATCGCTATGAGAAAATATATATAATGAGCATTGATTACTTTAAACAGACTCTCTGACTAGAGGACATGGAAATCGTGTCCTCAATTGACAGACTCAGTTGGGAAACTCGCATGGTAAAGGAGGGGGAGGGGTAGGGGGGTATATTTACCTCGTTCGACAGGACAACTTTGAGACCAAGTGACTGGCATTTTACATAGAATATTCCAATACCATATTTTACATGCCCTCCATGGTCGGATATGCTTTCGCGAGAACACGTCTGGGATTTTGACATCATAGAATACCTTTGTTTTAGCAGCAGAGAAAACATCGCCATTTTGTTTTGCTTGCTGCAATTGTTCTTTTGTTATAATCCAAGCGCGAAGCTTCGCGGAGTTGACCAAAACCACGGCTCGATTTAAACGGCTTGGTTTAAAAGATACTGAATTTGGCAACCGAATTCTAATCCTTCGTTTTCTGAGTGGAGTTGGTTGCGTACATTTCCAAAATTTAGTATATGTTCGTGTCGTTTTATTATCTGCATAGAGTATTTGCACTTCCGTTCCCACAATGCTGTGCTGTAAACAACTGTACTCCAGTGTTAACAGTGTGGTACTGTCGAGTTCATTTGGAGGATTCACAATCTTCACAAATTCCTGATTAACAAGCTTTTGATTGTCTTGAACTATAGATAGGATCTCTGGTTTTGTACAATTCACCTGAAAGATAAATCAAGAAGCGAAACGTGTAGATAATTAAAACAGAATCTTTTATTAAACGGATTCCATGACATAGAAAATTACACGAAATACCGGTGCTTAAAATCCGCTGCGCATTCAAATATACAAATATACGCGAATCAATTCCTTTAACTTTCCTTCAAACATTATCTCAAGCATTTGAATCCATTTTGACGAAATCTTTGAACACTTTACCTTTAAAACAGTAGAGAAAGTCAAAATAATCACAAAAATTAATTTAGAAATAGCTGTACGTTCACTCTTGATCGCCATGTTGTCAAATTCCGTCAATAGTTTCTCACGTGACTGAGTACCAAATGTTACCCCAGAAGAAAATGGCGATGAAAAGTTTCCTCAAGATGTTGTCAAACTTGTATTGATTTACAAATATGAGACGATTATATTGTCATTAGGTCTGTTTGTATGTATAGTGCTCAAAATCGATACACAGGCGGAATGCATGACAGACTGAGGACAATAGTTCCTACAGGGAGGCCGGTCCCACTTCGTCGACATCCCCCTTCCCCCAGATGACCTCTACTCAGCCCCTCCATCGAAACGCCATCGTATAGTTCCCCTGTACTCACCAGTGAAAGTCTAAAAATGATTTAGTAAGTTCAAAGGTAAACATGGAAATTCTTGTTTGGTTTAAGCGACTATAATGTACTAAGAAGCTGTTTACTTTCAGTGATCAATACATGTTAGCTAATTTCTAATATAGATTTATCTCCCGTAGAATGCACTTGAAATTAAACATGTACATTATAATGACACTGACAAACTCAGGTCCGTAGCCATCCTCCATTGTTCAGAGGGGCAATCATATATCCCGAGGGGCAATGGTGTATATTTGTTAAGTTTCAGTAATGAAATGGGTCAGTTGTCAGAATTTTTTCAGTTGGGGGGGTGGGGAGAGAGCATTCTCCTACCCTTTCCCCTCTCTCCCACCCCCTGTAACTACGTGCCTTCAGATATTTCTGAATCAATATGACTGATTTCAGCCTGCGCTAGCGTTTCGTTGTCAGTTTAAAATTATCACTTCCGTCACCATTCGACTCATTTCTTGCGTTGCATATGCGCATTATTAAGCTGTGCGTCAACATTTTGACTAATTACGTCTTACGTCAACGACCTTAAAAACTCATGTTTATGCTGATTTTTTTTGAAAAACCAAAAATATTGAGTTACAAATTGCGTCTAAAATTCTAACCCAATTACTACCGTGACGATAATAATTATGATATATATAATTATCGATTAGCCGAGATCGATATTTGATCTCTTTGATCGATACATAATGATTGATTTTTTTCAACCGAATCGGACATTAGATTGAGAACAAGATACCCTTCAATGTGAAATTTAAAAAAAAAAATTTATGTAAGCCTTATAAAAAATGTTTGCTGTCCCCTCACATCTTCCAAGACCGTCGAAAGTCTTGAGACCAAGCCCAACAATTTATTGAAGAGTTGATGTGGCATGGCATGTGCACTCTTTTCGAAACAACCTCATTTCATTTCTCGACTGGGTCTTGATATTTAGGTTTGACTACTCAATATCCCTTACGGAGAGGTCACATAGTTAAGAATGTATATTTGATAAACTATTAATCAATGCTTGTATAATTTGTCCATCAGATTTAGAAAGATTTAGTTCGTAACAAAGGGGTTGAATTTTGCAGAATGGAAAAAAGTTTTTATAACAAATAGCAACATATTTTATCTTATAAGCCTATTGAATTTGAAATTTGAAAGCATTTTGATTTATAATTAGTGAGTTATTTCCCTTCCTTAAAATTCTTCAAAGCAACACGGTGTCCCACCCTTAGTATACTTATAAACCTTAATGAAATTTGAGTATTTGTAAAGCCAGTGGCCTCAAATTAACCACAGATCTTAACGGATCTCAAGTTTCTGACGAGCGATTGACAAGGCAAGGTTATTCATGAGTCATGAATATTATCGCACCACATTGCGACTTGTGACAGACGATTATGTTATTATGATAGAAGGAATTTGAGAAGTGCAATTGTATATGGAATCGAAAACAATAAAATTTTCAGTTGATTATATTTTGAATGATCACGTACACACATAGGTGTGCTCAGTTTATATACTCCATTTGACATACGAAATTAGGTCTAGTTCTAACATGGAAATAACACACAAACGCAGTTCACAACCATTTTGAATCTGTATCTCGACTTAATAAGTCGAATTTTGATAAAGGCTAGAATATTTCAACAAATTCTTCAAATCACATTCAGAGGTTCAGAAATGGCTTGAAATGTGATTTGAAGGCCTTGTTGAAATATTATAGCCTTTATCAAAATTCGACTTATCAAGGGTAAAAAGATTCAAAATGGCTGTGAACTACGTCCGTGTATGTTATTTCCATGTAAGAATCATACGTAGTTTTGAATGCACCATTCGACTGCTCCGGGCTTTAAATCACAAACTTTCATTCCGATATGTAGTTCTTTTTATTCAAAGGCAATTTCAGGTTGGAAAGTGTGTTATTTCAGATTTTGTGGTCGGAGGGAGAATATGAATAAGCGTCCTGTTCTTTAAATTCTGCTCGGCGTTTACTATTATCTACCCATGTCTATGTGCCCCGTGTGGATATTTAGGGGCAATAATCAACTAGACAAATTATATAACTAAACTTCTAATTTACAAGCCTCTTTGTTAGTTATTCAAGTCATGGCAAGACTGTACGCAATGTTTAGCAAAGGAATTATTCTACCCCGAAACATAATAGACTAATCTGAATTACATTTGGACACGTCCTCGAACGTGCATTATTGTCTTTGACCGAATTTTCATCAATTTTCACATTCGTAAGTCCCATAAATAAGGATATATAACTTCTAAATCGTTTTTCAACTACTAAGGTTGGGCAAGGTCTCAAGCTGGGAGCCTAATCGCATGGTATATCGTGACAATAAGATTGATCAGGTTATTCACTGCCTCGCTGACCAGTAATAATACAGTCATAATGAGTTTTTATAATTAGTTTAGGTAACTTAATATGTTAATCACCCTCTTATAAAACTTTGTCCTCAGAAAACGTTGTTTCGGTTTATGCATAGAGACACCCTCCCCCCTCCATTCCCCAGTCCCCCTGCCTCCCCCCCTCTCCCAAAAATTATAAATAAGTTCCCTATTTTAAAAATTACACGTGCGTGCATGAAACTATTAAATGTCAAAAACTCGCAAGCTGGTGTTTAAAGAAACAATGGTGCTCGGACTAAAAACCAAAATGCCCTCATAAACGATGCATTGTCTTCGGTATGAATGTAATTTGGCATGAACAGTTTTGCTGAGAAAATTACACTGTAGCACGACAGGGGTATTAACAAAATATTTTCATTGAGTGCATTGGAAATTTGATAGCTCCCCACCCCCAAAGAAAAATTGAGCCCAGTAGAGCAATTCTCATTTAAGTTTTCCCGATTACCGACGGGACACTTGAGGTCACTTAAGGTTGACTTTAAAATCGGATAAGTTGTACTTATAACTTGTAATACGTCACAGAGCGTTGCGTCTACGTCAATTTCGTTGACGTAAGTATTCGGCGCATTATATAGGTTAAGAAGATCGGGAAAGTTTGGCAACAATATGTACATTATATTATATTTAGAAAACCACGATTATGGACAAACAACAATCTGCTTCTAATGTAAACACGACGTTTCGTACAGGTCGACGCTATGCAAGATCTGTGACTGAATTATAACATTTCATATGCATTCCTTAAAGGTCTTAAGGCAATTGTAAAGAGGTTGTCTAAATTTTTTATGTGTACCAGGCATACTGATAGCATCAATTTTCAGACAGACGTCTGTGGTTCCTGCAGTTCCCCTAAAACTAAGTGTTTTATGACTAATCGCATATATGCTTTATCACATCTAATCAAATGAGGATGAAAAAAGACAACAGGTTAATTCATTTCTTTAACATGGCAATTTAAATTTTCCTGTTCCAAATTTGACGATTGTATCACAAAATTCACAATAGGTTTGCTGTTCCACTGCACTAGGTTGGTTAGTGTGTTGTTCTGATGGAGCAATATTATGGCACTATCCTCACTTCGGAGGAAACCTCTTGAACACGGCAAAATGTCTGAATCAACGATAAAAAATAATTAGAAATTTTCAGAGCGGAACACCGTTCAATACAACTGATTATATTTAATACATTGTTTCTCAATATTAATATTTCTATTATGATGTTTGAAGAAGAACTATCAGAGCTGGTCGCCTGTGAACAAGTTTATTATCACGATTACAAGAGGAAAACAACAAAGTCAGAAAAAATCTATTATTAAGAGTGAGGAAGTTCATAGAAACTGCTATGTAAAGCACTTGCCGAGGTCACAAGTTATCTGTTAAAAATAGGGTGGAGTTAACAGAGTTAGTACTTAGTTTTGATCATGAAAAACTAAACTGGTAATCTTCAATAAATTTAATAAATAGTTAGTCTTCTTACAATCAGTTTTAAAAGACTACTCAAAGGGAGTATGAGTAGCAAATCTAATGGTCACGGTGCCTGGTGGCGTTCTGAAACTGGATTTATCCCATTCGGAAATGCGGCGTGGTTCAGAAAGACGCGTCCTCTTTAACCTGGTGCCAGGCTTGATCCCTGGATGGTTGAGATAATACCTTCGGGTATATTTTAACCTGGTTTTACCGTCAGTGTTGCAGGTCAGTGGGGCTGATATGGTAAAAACATCTAGTCGTTGGATAGGACAATAAATCGAGGCCCCCGTTCTACAGGCTGTGTAATCAAAAGATCCCTCGACAAATTTAGCATGTTAATACCGCTGTCAGAGAGAAATTTCCCGCTTTGCACACTTCTCATTACTCGAAGTTCACCTGAAATAAAATATCAAAAGCTGTATTTTAATCAGATTTACTGTTTATCACAGGGGCTTTTATGAATTCGTTAACAAGTTAGACTAAAGTGTTATATCCTACAGTTAATGAAAACGGGTACCCTGGCTTTTCCTATCAGACATCAAAAAGCTAATGGTATTTATTACGCGTTGTATTGACCGAACAAACAACTTAATTAGCCATTGTCCAC